AGAGGGGGGAGAGAGAGGCTAGGAGGGAAGACAAGAGCATCCCCCCATCTCCCAAGTCAATGCATGTTGCGGTGAGCCCGGCAAAGCAGCCCTCACGGTGGAGTCGGCCGGGGCTGCGCGCTCCCAAAATATGACCAGGGGCGCCGGGACGTGCAGCCGGCACTACGACCACGGCTCCGACCTCTGCTTCGCGCCCCGGGAGCACGACAAACCCTTCGCCGACTCGGAGAGGGCTCAGAAATGGCGCCTGTCCCTGGCCTCGCTCCTCTTCTTCACCGTCCTGCTCTCTGATCACTTGTGGGTCTGCGCCGAGGCCAAGCTGGCCAGGACCCGGGACAAGGGGCGGCCGCGGCGCGGAGCCGCGCCGGAGCCCCTGGCTGGCATGGGGGAGCCCTCGCCCGCAGCCCGGAGCCTCCTCTCGCCCAGCCTCCCTCCCTCCCCCAGCAGCAGCAGCAGCAGCAGCAGCAGCAGAGGCCAGAGCCGCCACCCCCCCCGCAGCGACCAGGCTATTTTTCTAGGAAACTCCACCAACCCCTTGTGGCGCCTGGAGACCTGCTACCCTCGGAGCTCCCCGCCTGCCCAGTGCTTCAGCGTGGGGGACGCGGAGTCCGCGTGCAGGAGGCCGCCGGGTCCGGGCCAGCAGCAGCAGCAGGTGCCTGGGGCTGGCAAAGCTCCTGGCTGGAACTTGACGGATTTTTACCTTTCCTTTTGTAATGCTTACACCCTCTGGGACTTGTTCGCCGGGCCGTCCAACCCGGACACTTTGAACTGCAGCCTGGACGCGGTGCTGGAGGAGGAGGGCTCCTGCAGCCAGTGCGTCCAGGCTTACCAACGCTACGACCAGCACGCTCAGGAGAAATACGAAGAGTTTGAGGTTATGCTCCAGAAATATTTGCAATCGGATGAATACTCGGTGAAATCGTGTCCTGAGGATTGTAAGGTAGGAGCCCTGCTGTGCTTGACTGCCTCTTTCCTGCCTGGTTTCCCCTTCGTGGCTATTCTTCTTGTTGGGCTTGGATCTGGTTTTATTCCTCACTCCGGTGGCTCTGCTTGGGGCAGGAGTGGATCCGCTGGTGATTGACCAGGGCAGGAGTGGATTTGGTGTCGATTGACCAGGGCAGGAGTAGATCTGGTGGTGACTGACCAGGGCAGGAGTGGATCTGGTGACGATTGCCCAGGACAGGAGTGCATCTGGTGGCGATTGACCAGGGATCCTTATTCACGCTTGGCTAAAGAGGAACAAGAGAAGCGATCCGTGAGTCCTCTGGGAGTTTAGAGAGCTGGATTTCCCCCTAGTCATAAATATGCGATTGGCTCAAACTCGGAGGCTCGCTTCCTTAGGCTTGGATGCGGTTTGACAAGAGAGGCAGTGCCAGGGGCTGCATGCCAATGAGCAGGGTAATGGAAAGAAGTGGTGTGGAAAGGTGCTGCCCCTGCCCCTTCAGGGGGCAGGAGTGGACGTGGGAAGTTGGTTGTCCCAGCGGGCTGGTGGCTGGCGCCTGTGTAAGCACTCGGTGGGGAACGTGCCTATTCCCGTGAGGACAGTTTGTGACCGCCCCGTGAGCCACAAGGGTCTCCTTCACTCGGAAAGCAAGTTTGCTCTTGTCTTGGGGTGCTGTGCCCAAGCAGAGCGTGTACATCTATGTGGAGGGGGGGAATTGCGTCTAGCAGCAGTTGCCATGCGAAGCCTTTTGCAAGAGCCAGCGATGGCAGGCTGCGCTCCAGATTTCTGAAGGACAGATGTTCCGGTTATTTGTCGTATGGCAGTATCTGAAGTTACTTGTTGGTCGTTGCAGCTTGTAAGCTTTTAGTGAGAACGAAGGCTTGGGTATTTCCTAACGTACAGACAGAAGATGTGGTAATGCGATCATTAGCACAAGGAAAAAGGGCATGATGACCGGCTCTATATGTGTCTGCGTCTGCAGTCTGCTCTACAAAATCTATGGAGTTGGAGAGAGCTCAAGGACTAGAGTGGATGTAAATAGATGCTGCAGTGACCTTTGGTTGGGAAGTAGTGATGACAGAATTTCAATAAGCCTCATCGTTATTCTTTGTGTATCACCAATACCCATTCAGTGCAATCCAAAGATTATTTTTCTTCATAAGAAAACAGTGCCCCATGTTGGCTCTTCGGTAGCTGTCACCTCTCCACTTTTGCATACCTCGGTTGATCCAGCTCTCGATGCAGGGAAGCACTGAGTAAGGGGCCGTATCTGGTGCTTAAAATACCCGGTCTGTTTTGTAAGTATAATTTTTGGACCCTCTGAGCCAGCTGAATGGCTTCTGCTCTGAACTTACTTGACTCATATTTTATCAAGTACTATATTATATTGGTAGCTTAACACACCTACACCATAAACTGCTGTAGGAGTCAACCAAACACAGCACTGCATACAAATTACTGCTCTGAACAGATGGCCTATAATGCTGATACTATTTACACTGGGAACCAGAGCCCCACTTCATTTTTTAACTCAAGCAAGGCCTTTCGAAATTTTACCAGGATAACAGCAAATGCCTCAAAGAATCCCACTATGTTGAATATGGGCACTAACTTGCAAACGCTGCCTTAAAAGTCAATCATGTATTTCTTCAGAAGTCAAATAACTTTAATCATTATAGAGTAATAGGGAAATTATCAGCCGTTATCAGCAAGGGGAAAAATATTAATCCAATTTTTTTCATGTAGTTGAATAGGAATCAGCTCCTAAAGCAAGTTTTGGACTTGCAGGTCCCAGATGATAAACTCTGTGCATTTGCAAACACAGACCATCTATACTTTATGTATTCTTTAGCCTATTATCTTTTTATCTGGACATTTACTGCTTTAGAGGTAAAAGAAAAAAATACCCAGAAGTTATATGCCTGGAGACCAAAAATATGAGGACATCACTGCCATTTCAGTAACTTCTTCACTTGGAAACTAATCTACTGCTTTGTGCTGGCAAAGAATCACATTTATTTTCTTAATATCAGTTTTAAAATTATGGGCTGATATTATGAACTTTTCCCCATGTGTACACGTTCAGGTTCTTTACTGCACACCATTCCATGGAAGAAAAAGGAACCTGCAGTGAATAGTAACTATATAGTGTGGTTTATATTTTTTCTACTGGCTTCTAATATTTATGTTGGTGAAGAGAGAGAAACATTAAAAATAAAATTATTGCAGTAAAATAACATCAATCTTTTACTTCTTTAGAAAGCAAGAGGGTTGTGTGTATATGCCGTACACATTACCCATGGTTTTTAGGTCTCAAACACCAGATCTGTTGTATTCAGTTCGTATTCAAACGTGCTTTGAGAGTTTGGTCAACCAGTGTATGTGAAAATGGAGGGAAATAAAAGCACCAAAAGCTAATGGTAGTTAGCATTCATCCTTTTAGAAGTCATCTCGGAATAATGATGTGCTCAACTATAACATTTATGTGCAGCTGTACTGTGAGAACTACAGATCAGAGACAAAGCTCCGCTGCGGTGAGACTCGTTGCTTGTTTCAAGGAAGTGTTTGCTGTCCAAGGTGCTGAAAAGGCGGCGCACTGCTCACTGTTTATATACAATGAGTGCATTGCAGAACTATCCCCATCTTAAATGTAATGGCGGGATGTACGTTTCCATATCTTTTAAGACATTTTAATTCCTTCAAATCTGATGTCATTCTGATAAATGTAATCATTTGGCTATCTTCGGCATTCAGTACATGATGAATATTAATGTGCTAGTATGTACTATATGTTCAGCTGTGCAATATGAAGTTATAAAGTCTTGCAGAAGTTTGGAACTATGGTTATTATGGGGGGAAAACCTGTGGAAAAAGAGAATAAACTGAAAATGTCATTTTTGCTGAATTGCTTTGGGATATATATATATATGAATATATATATATATTCATACACACATACATGTTTGACACATTAAACTGAGTTATTGTTTCATTCATAGAAATATAAATATTGAATATATGGACATAAAGTGTCTAGGTATTTAAGTTACAAGCTAAATCATCAACATTTAATAGGAAATAGTAATCTGGCATCTAAGCATGTACTGTAGTTATGTCCCATTTGACTGGTTAACATGGTATACTACTATTTTCTGTATTTTAAAAGAAAAGGCTATACAATTTGATTTTATTCATAGTCATATACATGGACATAGACCAGGGGAACAATGAAACAACTCTTAAAGTAGACTATTTACCTTTGGGATAGTTTTAATATTCTAGAAGTGTAACTGCATGCTGAGCAGAAGAGAGGTTTCATCCATTTAACCATTTGTAGTTTATAGAATCAATACACTTAGTGTGAATAACGATCAGTGTAACATCTGTGTTATATTATATTCCTCTTCTGCTCCCTTCCCAAGCCCCCTCAAGAAACTTAGGTTATAAAGTGGAAATCATACCATTACTATTTCCTCACCTGTTAATTGTCATATTGTTCAATAATACAAATAATGGCTATAATCAATAGCTAAGAGGAATTATAGTACTTTAATGTAGTACTATAGAATGAAAACCTTAAATTTTCACTCCCTTTCTTGAAAGCAATATTTTTACAGGCTGGCAGATATTTCTTTCTACAAGTCCTAAGGTTTATTGTATGCCTCATAGTCTCTAGGGAATGATGTAGACAAGCTGCTTTCTGTTAGAGAAAGATCTTTGTAGTCAGAAGTTGTTGTGCTTATTATAAACTCACTTGTACCTATTATATTAAGTTGAATTATGTATTTAGTTTAACTAGACATATATTAAGTATTACTTATTGATGAATTAGAAGGAAACTTCTCCCTCTTAATTTTAGTGGATCTAGATTTAAATGTTTACATATATCTTTGCATTTAAATGTAATGGAGATTGGAACAGATACTGACAATTCTCAGAGCTTAGAGTATTTATGCATGACAATGTCACAGAAATTGGATATGCAGTTTATATTGGTTGGGATAGGTAGACTTTCTCATACAGTGCCAGCATCAGTGCCAGTGCCAGTAGATTGACACAGGAAATACTGTTTTAGAAGTGACTCTTCTTATTACCTCATTGTAATTCAATTTTGATTAGTTTTGCTAAAAGTGATTGCATATAGTATGTTTGGTATTGTACTTTAATAATCATGTAGGAATATACTAACTGGTAGGCACCAGAATGACAAGGATTTATTGCATTTAAATATAGGACCAGAGTCTCAGCTAATGTAAAATTGGTGTAGCTTCCTTGACTTCCATTGATGGAATTAACAAGAGCTGAGAATCTGAGCAATTATTTCTATTTTAATCATACATAATTTATTTATTGCAAACTTTTGATTTTGTTGTGTAAATAACACACATTATGCAGTAATAGTTACAACCCGTAAAATCATGATGACTATGATTGGTAATATCTTGTTGTCTTGCTGTCCAGATTCTGATTTTTGTATTTGATTCTTGTTGTCCAGATTCTGATTTTTGTACTGAGTCTACCATTGAATCCTGCACACATAATGTATTGGGTTGAAGACAGAAGACACAGTTCCTCATAACAAGTTGTCCACTTTCTATCAGGGGAAATAAGTTCTTATTCTTAAGTCAGCAAACTCTTGCTTTTCTGGAAAAAAAAGGAAGATTCTGGCTGCTTCTGAACATGAACTGGGTCAAATCACTAAGTAGGACATACAAATGTGAAGGTTTTTAAAATGTGGGTTTTAGAGATACAGATTATATTTTCTGTGGGAAGTATTTGAATTCGAGAATTATGTGTGCAGACACATTTATTAAAGTTGGACCTTTCAATGTGAAACATCAGTTAGCATCCTCAGCCAGCTATTTTACACTGTAAACAGTTAAGAGTGTTTAATATACATGGATATTGTCCTTCAAGACTATCTTAAATACCATAATGTGTTACTTATATCTGTTTGTATATTACTAAAAAAACCCTCATGTCATTATTTTGTTTTA